GAAGACCTGGGTTCAAATCCCAGCACCCACATGGCGGCTAACAACTGTCTGTAACTCCAGTTCCAGGGGATCTGACAGCCTCTTCTGTCCTGTGCGGGCATTGCACAACACGGATGCACTTACCTACATGCAGGCAATACACGAATACACATAAAATAAAAATAATAAATAAAATAAAAAATATGTATCCTATGCTTATTATTTACAGAATTTATCCATTTACCAGAAGTCTGAATAAATCACTTTGGATATAGAGAAGGACATAAGGCGGAAAACAAATTCTTACCTTCTAAGAACCTCATTCTAAATACCAGAAGTCATAGGAGACAACTAATGGGGCTGGAATTTCATTTGTGATCACAAGTGTTGTTCCTTTATTTCCTGGGTCTCTGGAAAGTATTTTGGAATGCGCTAGGTACTTAGGGTGCTCTGGAGCCTGGGGGAAGAAGTCTAAGATGTGACCCTGCCGGCCAGGTGCTGGGGAGAAAACGGAGTTCAGAGTCAAGTAGAGCATTAGGCCTCCATGACTCCAGCACAGAAAAAGTAATTCAAAGAATGTTCTGACAGCAAGGAGACCCTGTTCCAGCCTGTCGGCTGCTTTACAGAGACAGGTTCTCAGCTGGTTATGAGGAACAGAAAGACTTTCAGAGAGGGATAGAGGACATTCCAGGTAAGGGGAAGAGTACACGGAGGTCACCGAGTGTTGAGAAGTTCTCACCTAACACTGAGACCTGACCAAGGAAGAGCTTACGCCCCACAGTGCCTGCCGCAGGTAGCCCAGTGTCCGATGCCCATTCTGCATCTGCAGGGAGACTTTATCTCTAACCTGTCCTCTTCCTCCATTGTCCAGGGTCCCTATAGTCCATTCAAGGACAATATTATGCTCTCCTCATTTCTCCTGAGATCCTGTCTTCCCTCTGCCATAAGGAGTCTGCCAAAGAAAGCACGCATCAGAAACATGTCCAGCATGCCTGGGGGTAAGTGGGGCTAGGTGTTTGGTTGGTTGGTTGCTTGCTTGCTTGGTTGCTTGGCTGGGTTTTTAAGACAAGGTCTCATGTAACCCAGGCTGGCTTCAAACTCACAGGATTCCTGATCTTCCTGCCTTCACTTCATCAAGAGTACTGGGATGACAGATGTATACCACCACATCTATATATAATATTCATAAAAATAAGTAATAATAAATGTTATAAATATACTATGCATATATTTTTTAAATCTTGAAAATACTAAAATACTAGCTGTGTAGGTCCAGATCCCTGAGTCATTTAGCTTCTGTGGGACAGAAAAAAGAACAATATGCAGTTAGCTCTGGCCACTTTTTAACTTCCCAGAAAGATCTGATACCTTGGACAAGGGAAAGAGCCTCATGGAGGGGTCTAGGGCCTCCTAAGTCCTGTTTAGTCACCACTTCCATGTGGAGAACTGCCCATAGACTCAGGTGACAGAGGGAGCTGGTGTTCTTTTGTTTGTTTGTTTGGTTGGTTGGTTTTGGTTTGGGGTTTTTTTGCTGGGCACAGTGGTTCATACCTATAATCCAAGCACTTGGGAGGCTGAAGTAGGAAGATCACTGAGAGTTTGAAGCCAGCCTTGGCTACATAGTAAGTTCCAGGTCAGCCTGGACTACAGAGTGAGCCTCTATCCCAAAACACCAAACCAAACCAGATAGATAAACAAAGAAACAAGAAGTGTTGGGGGAGGGTTTCTTTCCTGAGAAAAGTGTCCCAGATCAAAAACCTTCTAAGCTCATTTCTATTCAGGTCAAATTTCCTACCCTTGAATGACCCTATTTTCTGGACAGCACCCATCTCCCCACTGTCTCCCAAGAGTGACACACCCACTCTGAAGGGTTCTGAAAGAAAAAAAAATACACATACCCCATATGTCACTGACCTATGTCCCATCAACATTTGACAATAAAAACAACTTTTAGGGACTTGAGATGCAGCTCAATGGTAGAGCACTTGCCTACCAAACCCAAGGCATCACAGAAACAAAAGAAAAAATAATGCCGGGCTGGTGGTGCTCACCTTTGATCCCAGGAGGTGGGGCAGGGGGATCTCTGTGAGTTCAAGACCAACCTGGTCTATATAGTTCCAGGCCAGCTGGGGCTACAGGGAGACCCTGTCTCAAAAAGACAAAAGAAAAAAATAGATTTTTCGGGCTGTGGTAGGAAAACCCAGGAGCACATTCAAAGTCCTAAGTACTAAGGCAGGGCAGTTCTCACTAGGCCTACTGCTGTGTCAGGCCTCTGTTGCTATTTGTGGGCTAATGGCATCTATTATTGTCTAATAAAGCCCCCTAAAGGTTAGTGGCTTAAAACAATAATATTCACAAGTCTACAACTGAGGCTGGGCTTGGTGGACTCCTGACTGTACCTTATTGTTGGACCATCCAAATGCCTTCTTCCTCACATTCCAGTGTCTCTGGGATGGCTGGATGAGAGGGCCCAACCTTTATTTCTCTCTTGGGAGTCTCTCCAACAATAGCCAAACTTCTTTCCTTGGGTAGCTCAGGACTCCAAGAGAAAGCATTCTATGAGGAAAATCCTTCCTGTTTGCATCACACTGACTAATGTCCCCAAAGCAAGTGGCCTAGCCAAGGCCAAGGTCCATGGGAAGGTACTCCACTGGGTTGTGAATGGCAGGAAGATGCATCAAGATCATAGTCTGTGGCAGCTGTTGTACACAGTCAACAAACATGAGCTTTGGCTCAGAAAGGCTAAGCCAGGGCCTTGGGCCCCAGGTGGACAGTGTAGGTACGATTCTCAGCTTTACTCCACAGTGGTATACTGTGAGAAAGCAGTGTACTTCCTAACCTGGCTTCCCAAATGAAAATGGGGACAGGCTCCTACCTAGGAGCCTTCAGGAGGGCTGCCTGGCAGGCAGAGTCCTTCCATGCCACCTGCTACTGTGGAATGATCCAGGAGGAGGACTTATATGACTCAACAGTTATAAATCTCCAGCCTAGAGGTCTTCTGAGGCTTTAAATAAGACAAGGAGTATGTAAGGTATCCTTTTTAAAAATTTTTGTTCTCTTGTTATGAAGTTTTAAAAAATTGATTTTTGGTTAAAAGACTCAGAAAAAAAATTACTCCACAAAGAGAAAATAATGTGACCTTAGAGAGCCCTTAGAGAGGGTTGCAGTAATCACAAGGAGCTGGGAAGCATCTCATCTACAAGTGAGGTCTGCCTCACTCCCCCTCCAAAAAGGACCCCAGAGGCCTCTGTTCCAGGTCATGTTGCTAATGGGGACAACTCAGAAGACTGCTCTATTCATCTCCTGCAGTGGAGATGAGCAAAGCCTAAACACCAAGCTCCTGAAGTGCTTTTAATTAAAAAGGAAACAAAGAATCTTTGTGTCCCTAATGCCTCCCTGATTTATTGCATTAGAAATCCAATTTGTCCTCACAATAGGCTTTGGAGGGAAGAGGTGGTAAAGAGGGAGGGAGGCCTTTAAGTTAATGTCTTCCCCTCCGCCTCACTACAGGTACAGGTCATTGTGGAAGAGAGGGACAGCCTCCTCCTGCTCTCTGTTCCTGGGGTGCCTTAGGCACCCTCCTTTGGGAAATCTGTTCAGGGCATTGACAGGCACTCTAGGGTTTGAGATGATGAATTCCAACCCTGCCCCAACCTTTGCTGGATCTGGGTTTTTCCCAGCAGATGGTGTGTCTGCTTCACTCTTCATCTCTGAGGAAGTGCTGGATCCATCACACAAGACCTAGAGTCTGAGACCCAGTGAATACAGTGTCATGATGAAGGGGAAGGAACTCAGGGGTCATCTGTCCGAGGTTTCAACCCTGACTGTGCTGTGTGACCTGGGAAACTCATTTCATTTCTCCAAGTCTTATTTCTCGCAATCATAAATTATAGATGATTATGGTATATAAATTACTTAGCACAGAGAGACCTGGAGCACCATCAGCATTCAGTAAACATTAACTAAGAGTGTTCTTGCAGAACAGAAATATCCACAATGTCCACTTATTAATGTCCACAGCTGGCAGTTAGGAGATTGTCCCCAAGGTTACTTCTCCGTAGAACACAACTATGTTTGTCTTTGGTATGGTCTTTGTCTTAATCTGTTTTCTGTTGTTGTAGCAGAATACTTGATACTGGGTGTGTTGGTTACTTGTCTCGTTGCTGTGACAAAACACTTGACAAAAGCAACTTAAGGAAGGAAGGGTGTATTTTGGCTCACAGTTCTAAGGGATACAGTCCATCAAGCCAGGGAAGCTATGGTAACAAGAGCAGAAGGCAGCTGGTCACAGTGAAGCCACAGTCAGAAGACACAGTACTGACTGCTGCTACTCAGCTCACTTTCTCTTTTTATTCAGACAAGGACCATAGCCCATAGAATGGTGCCACCTACATTTAGAGTGAGTCTTCTCATTTCTGGATAATCCCTCTCAGACATGAGATTTGTTTCCATGGTGATTCTAAATCTCATCATGTTGCTAATCAAGATTAACTATTACAGTGGGTAATTTATAAAAGAAAAAAGTTTATGTTAGTTCACAGTTTCTGAGGCTGGGAAGTCCAAGAGCCTGGTGGGGCCTTGTGTAGCTTTAACTCATGGTGTGAAGCAGAGGGACATGTGGGTACATGCAGAAGAGCAGGAAAGGTGGACTTGCTTTAGAACAACTGTGCGAGACCAAGAAATCACACAATGCTAGGCATGGTGGCACACACCTTTAATCCCAGCACTTGGGAGGCAGAGGTAGTTGGATCTCTGTGAGTTTGAGGCTAGCCTGGCCTATATTGGGAGTTCTAAGCCAGCTGGAGCTACAAGGAGACCCTGTCTAAAAAGACCAAAAAAAAATTTATTTTTTATTTTTTATTTTTTCGGTCTTTTTGAGACAGGGTCTCCTTGTAACTGCAGCTGGCCTGGGTTCACTATGGAGACCAGGCTGGCCTCAAACTCACAGAGATCCACCTGCCTCTGCCTCCTGAGTGCTGGGATTAAAGGCATGCGCCACCACGCCCGGCTTAAATTTTTTAAATAATTAAAAAAAGAACTCACACAAGAAGGCATCAACCCATTGATGAGGGCTTTGCAGCCATGACCCAAACCCCCCCCACTCCACTCCACCTCCCTACACTACCACATGGAGGAACCAAAATTCAACACATTAACTTCTCAGCCCTGCTCAAATATGACAGTCTTGGTTTTATAATATTGAGAAAAGTACATAAAACATCAAAGTCACTTGCAGTCTTGTTACCTAGAGACAGTTATGATTAATATTCAGATATATTCTCTTCAAGTTCTTTCATCAATTTTATGACAAAATAGAATATGTTAGATATGGTATTTTGTTACCTGGCACTGTTCCTTTAACAATGATGTCATGTAATTTATGAAGCTTAACTCACAGAGATCTCTTTGAGGTAGACATGATTAGTGTTAGTGTCCAGATGAGGAAACTGAAGTCAAGAGATGCAATATCAACTTCCTGGTGGTCATAGAGCTGAGTAGGGACAAAATCAAGATTCAAGTTCAGGGTCATCTACCTCCAAAACCAGAGGACTCCCCCGACCCCAGAATGGCCAGCTACCCTCACAGGAGGTCCCTGGTAATCAAAGCAGACCTTCCTTCTTCCACCTTGTTGAGCTGTCCATTGAGTCCACCCTTCAGAAATCAATCTGGCAGACCAAAAACAAACAAACAAACAAATAAAAAAACTACCAACAGCCATCATCCCCATAAGATTAATCAAAAATAGCAACACCAGTGAAAGGCACTGAGTCACCTCAGTCGCCAGGGCAATGCTCATGTGATAGTTCATCCTGGTTGGCAACTGATAAGATTTAGAATCATCATGGAACAGATCTCTGGGCATGTCCATGAGGGATTATCCTGATTAGGCTAACTGAGGTGAGTAGACTCACCCTAGATGTGGGTAGTATCATTCCATGTACTGGGATTCTGGGAATATTCTTTGTTCTCTACTTCCTGAGCGTGTACACAACGTGACCAGCAGCCTCCCACTTCTGCTGCCATACCCTTCCCCAAACCCCGTGATGGACTATATCCTCTGGAACTGTAAGCAAAAATAAATAAAACCTTCCTCCCTTAAGTTGCTTTCGTCACAGCAATAAGGCACGTAACCAATACAGCACATTACAACCACAGTGCAACCCCCTGACACAGCTGCCAGGACAGCTAAAATGAAAAAGTCAGGCAGCACCAAGTGTCAGAGATGCCCACCATGGGTGACCGTGCCAATTGGTAGGGCCACAATAAGAAGCTGCCAGGGTATCCAGTAAAGCTGACGATGCATTTCTTCTGCAAGCCCATGTGCATATCAAACAGGAAAGCACATGTATGGCGTGTGTCTTGTGGCGGCATCATGTGTAATAACCCCAAGCTGAAAACTCTTCAAAAGTTCCTCCTTGGTGGGCTGGGGTGAATTCTCATGGTGTGAATATACCATACATCAGGGCCCATGAATGGACTACCATTAAATCCAGCACTATGGATTAATCTCCAGATGTTAAGTGAAAGCATCAGGAATCAAAAGATACATAGAATAGGGCGTGATGGTTCATGTCTTTAGGCCCATGACTTTGAAGGCAGAAGCAGGTAGAGCTCTGTGAGCCTGGTCTACATAGCGAGTTCCAGGCCAGCTGGGGCTACAGGGAGACCCTGTCTCAAAAACACCAAAAAAACGGAAAAAAAAGGTTAGGACAGTGGCACCATGGAAGGAACCAGTGGCTAGAAGGGGCAGCAAGAATGTTTTCAAGGTGCTGATAATGTTGTCTTCCAGTCTGGGCACTAGCCTGGAGGATGTTTTTTATGTGAAAAGTGTTGAGCAGTATATGTTTTGTTTGTTTGTTTGTTTGTTTGTGAGATAGGGTCTCACTATGATGTGAAAAGTGTTGAGCAGTATATGTTTTGTTTGTTTGTTTGTTTGTTTGTTTGTGAGATAGGGTCTCACTATATAGCCCAAGCTGACCTCAAACTTGTGATCTCCTGCTTCAGTCTCCTGAGTGCTGAGATTATAGGTTTTCCATACCATATACAATGTATGTTGTTACACTTAAGCACTTTTCTGGGTGCCTGTAATGTGCCAGTCAAAAACAGAATTCAAAAGGGTCTGCAAGCAGCAACCAAGTATACCTTTGTCCTGTCTCGCACCCAACCCAGGCCTCCAACCAGCTAGTGTGGTGGTCCTACCTAGATCCCTAGCACCAGCGTTCGAAAGCTTCTGCCAGGCCAACCACGGCCCTTTGCCCTTGCTGGGCCAAAGTGAGCCAGACAAGTGGATGCTGCCTCACCTGGGAGCTGTTGTAGACATGAGGTAAAAAGTGGGGGTTGCAGTATTCAAGGCTTGGGAGTGGGAAGATGTAGTTTGGGGTCTCAATCATGAGGGACACTTTGATCCAGCCTCAGGAACCCCACAGTACCCGGCATGGAACCTTCTTACCTGATCACTCAGGAGCAAACTACCATCCCTCTTTCCCATTTCATCCCTGATCTCCTCATCCCATGACTGACCTTGTCTCTGCTTCCTGGGAGGCTTGCCTTCTTACACACCTAGTAAATGCCTATTTATGCCTCAAACTCAGTATTTCCTCTTTCATGGGTTTGTTAGCTTTCCAACATTAGGAGAAAATACCCAAGACAAACAACTTAAAGGAAGGGCTCAGCAAATGATTTAGGGGTGAGCAGAGGAGAGACTTGTACCATGAGAGGCTTTCAACCCCATAGGAGAGTTTCTCTGTAGAGAGAGGAGGCCCCACCCTGTGAGCTCCAAAGGCCCCTTAAAGCCCCCACCCTCTGTCCTGAGTCTGCCAGCTCCCTCTCCATGGAAGAAAGGCTAACATTATTTTATTCATTCTGGTCTGACTGGCCTCAAATTGAGGCTCAGGAAATCAAATGGTGCAGGACCCAGGGTTATATAATACAGAGGCTGATTCAGTAGATCCAATTTGGTCATGCTTCAAGGATATCAACAAAGCTCCCAGCTAAAGACCGAGTTCCCTACCATGGTGACAGTACCTGAGATGTCAGCATTAGATGTCCCCCCACTCCTGTCTTTTCAAAAAGTGCATCATGGTGGGGGCATTGCTCTGTGTCCCCAGGACCATCTGTCCACAGTTCCAGAAATACGAGTTTGGTACCTGCACAGGCATTCTGGCCTCACTGGAAAAGTACTCGGAACAGCTGAAGGACATGGTGGCCTTCCTCTTGGACTGCAGCTTCTCCTTAGATGGGGCCTTGGAGCAGGCAGGGCTTCCCAGAAGACAACCAGCAGGTCCCAGCTACACAGGAGCATACAAGGTAGGGACACCAGCCTGGGCAGAATGGCTTGAAAATGTGAGTGGACTTGTATTTTTCTGTTTTGGGGGTGAATATTGGTAGAGGAGGCAGAAACCCTAGGCTTAGACCCAGCTCAGTCACTTCTCGAGGAAGAGCCATCAACCTCTCAGAGCCATCCTCCCTCCCACTCACCTCTGATACAGCTGTAGCACCCAGTGTGGCCCTTTGGGGGAGTTTATTGCAGCTGTATCAACCAAAGCCATTTGGAGTGTGTGCGTGTGTGTGTGTGTGTGTGTGTGTGTGTGTGTGTGTGTGTACGCACAGGTGCCACAATGTACATATGGAAATCAGTGGACAGCTGTTGGAGGTGGTTCTCCCCTTCAACTATGTAGGTTTGAGGGATACAACTCATGTCATCGGGCTTGGCAGCAAGTGCCTTTATGCATCCACTGGCCTCACCTTGTTGGTTTTTTAAAAAATTATATTTTATTTTTATTATTTTTATTTTATGTGCATGAGTGTATTGTCTGCATGTAAGTACACTCATGTCATACCCTCGGAGGTCAGAAGAGGGCGTCAGATCCCCTGGAACTGGAGTTAGGACAGTTGTTAGCTGCCACGTGGGTACTGGGAACTGAACCTGGGTCCTCTGCAAGAACATCTGGTCCTCTTAACTGCTGAACCATCTCTCCAGCCGCTCACCTTGGTTTTTGAGACACAGCCTCTCACTAGGACCTGGGATATGCTGATTAAGGCTAGGCTGACTGGCCAGCAAGCCCTAGGGATTTTCCTGTCTCCATCTCCCCAGTGCTAGAATCATAAGTACAGGATGCCAACATGCCAAGTTTTTATGTGGGTGCTAGGGAACTGCAAAGGCAGCAGGTTAGCCTCTCCTAGGGCACACCCGCTGGTAGGTACGGTCCCTGACTGAGCCCCTGAGCTTTTCTTCCTGATGTAACCAGTCAAGCATTACTGCCTCCTTCCTGAACACTGTTGGGACAAGTCAGAGAGCTCACTCTGTCAGAGCAATTGTTGACAAGCAAGAAAAGCTGGCCTCTGGGCTTTGCTGTTTATAGAGGTCTCAGACTGGAGATATCATCCAGAGCCTCCTTTAGCTCCTGCCAGAGGCCTGGACTGCCTCTGATCAGAAAAGAGGTTGCCTCCAGTTGTACTGTTTTTTACATTGTAATATATGTTGGAGAGATTGGTGTGAAGCTATAGGGAAGGGTGGGGACAGAGCCTCACTGCTGGGTGGGATGTGGGACCCACCCTCATGTGTAGCATGTAAGAGCTGGGAGGGCTTTGGGGCTTATCAGCACAGCCCCTCATTTGAGATGAGGGAACCAAACCTGGAGGGCAAAAGACATGGATTTGCCCAAGTCCTGGAACCAGCTGGAACCACACTTCTGACTGGTGTGATGACTGAAGAAAGCCTTGCCCAAAGGTGCAGGTGTCCATAATAGATGATCACAAAAGCCACTGTCACTTGTCTACTTATCTGCCCTCCACCCCTAGTTACCACACAGCTTTCTGTCCCATAGCAACCCCAACCCCTCCCCTGCCTTTAGGTACTGGGAGAGGTGACTGCACAGTCTTCTCAGATGTGACTGATAACCTGGACAGATGGCCCATCCTAGGAAGAAGCACCTCAGCCTCAGGAGCACTCCCTGGCTTTGCAAGTGGTCCACGTGTGCCCTCTCCCTGTCCCAGGTGCTGTCTGGCAGAAACCAGGCTGGCAGTACACTGAAGCCTCATCCTGCCACTGCCAAGATGGTAACAGTAAGCCAGATAAGTGGTGGCCAAGGTTGTCCCAGTGGATCATAACCCTGGCTATGTCCTAAATCTTTCATAGGCCCCACTTTTGGAGTAGAATCAAACCACCAGTGAAAGTCACCCAGGTCGCCTTGGGCAGGCCACAGAGGTAAGAGTCAGCCAGGCTCAGGGCATCTGGGGACAGGCCTGTCCCCTGTGTGGTGTCTAGAAGTAGAGCAAACAACAGCTCCTTCTGCTGAGATGGTCTGCTACCTTCTGCCTCTGACTCTGCCAGGTCTTTGCCTATGTTCCACAGGCCCCCTTGAGGTCCATGAAGAAAATTCAGAGGGCCCCTGAAAAATGGTTGGGGAAAGTAGATTTTTTTTTATTTTTATCAACTTCAACTGAAATTCAACATTTCCTTCTGTTATGAATGTTGGTGACAAAAGGATGTTGGATCAGCAGACTCTGTAGCTTTTGACTGCCAAAGCATTTCACAGATCTCTTCATATCACAGTACAGTTCTCAGATCTCAAAAATACCCTATAAGCTGATCACTACTCCAAAAATACGATGGCAACAGAGCTGCCATTCTGTTCTTTTAGCTGTTAACAGGAATGCCTATAGCTGTATCCCAAGTTCTAGAAACTGGTAACTGCCTTTGAACATTTGAATAGAATTGGTTTCCTTTGAAGTATTAAGAAATTTTTTTTCTCTTCATGTGTGTGCGTGTGTGTGTGTGTGTGTGTGTGTGACTGTATAACCCAGGCTAGCCTTAAAACTCCCTGTATAGTTAAGTCTGCTTCAAACTCTCCATCATCTTCCTGCCTCAGCCTCTTAATTGTCAGAACTACAGACATGGGCCTCCATATGACTTTTGTCTTATGTGGTTAAAACATTATGCTGAGCCGGGTGTAAAAAAAAAAAAAAAAAAAAAAAAAAATGCTGAAAAAAAATTAAAACCAAAAAAATCATTATGTTGACCATATTGATATCTTCTTAGATGCATCAGATGACCAAAGGTACATTGGCAAAAAATAAAAATAACAAAAGTTAGGAGCCCATTTTAAATACTCATCACCAGTCAATTGCTCACTGGTATGGTACCTAAAAATGAAAGGGGTATTTCCACTTGGACCTCCTGCTTCAGTCAGCTGCCTTGAACCGTGGGTGCTCGGGCTTCAATCTGTGTTAATTCCCTTGTTTTGTTTTGTTTCAAACATTCTTCATTTGATTTTTGGTCAGACAACAGTGCCTTGTGCCACCATTGCTGGCTTCTGCTGCCCTCTGGTGGTCACAATGCGACCCATTCCCAAGGACAAGCTGGAAAGGCTGTTGGAGGCCACTTGCTCCTCAGGAGGCAAACAAGGACAACCCATTCACATCGGTGACCCAGGTCAGTGTCCACCCTCATTGGTGATTCCAACTAGGGTCTGAAAAGTAGCGAGCAGCTTGTGCTGTTCTCTGGGGGATTTCAGGGGGGAAGGCCTTGAATGAGTTCTAGAGGTTCAGAACCAGTCATGTACCCTCAGGTTTCAGATACTGACCTTACCAGGTCAGCCAGCCTCATCTGTTGGGGATCTGTGATATACATAAAGCTCATATGAATGTCAAGTGATCCCTGAACATGAGGAGCAGAGGGAGGCGGTGGACTCTATGTCCTGAGATTGAACTCAAAGTGATATCGGTTGCTAGTCAGTGATAAATATGTGCAGGAGAAAGTTGTTCCAAACTTTCATTTGGGGTTAGCAAGATGGCTCAAAGATGATAGCCTGAGTTCAATTCCTGGAGTCCCACAGTGGAAAGAGAGAACTGGCGCCTCTGACCACCACATATACACCATGGCATGTGTGTGCATGCACTCATGTACACACATCACACACAATAATAATAATAATAATAATAATAATAATATACAAATTTCTCTTTCATTTGGATTGAAATTCATTTATGCCCAGAGTATTAACTCAGCCTAAGAGTGAGTCAACAGATCCAAAGGTGAAGGTCAAAAACCCGGGTGTTCCTCAGGTCTCTTGGAGCTCCCAGTGGTTGGGTTTGGCCCTTGTTGAGAGGCAGGGTCCATGTACTTGAACTTGCTCAGCTGAGTAGCCAACAGAATCACACAAAACCTGGCATTCTATGAAAACATCATCAGTACTTGCTGCCTCTACACCTAAACCACCCACCAGGAAGGTGTCTGCTGATTAGTGGGGACAAATTGAATCCAACACATCATCCATCTTCATTGTCCTCATGAGCACTCTCATTAGCACTACAGTGGCTGCCTGCCCTGGCTAGAGTGTTGTTGGTAGTAGGCAATGGCAGTTAGGGCTGTATAACATGACTGGGTCCGTATCAAGATGAACATAATGCTGGCTTTTCTAGCAGTCTGTGTGCTGCAAGGCCAGTTTTGAGCTAAGTGCTTCTTCAAGAGACCAAACACATCATGGAGTTTGAGATAACAGGCCTGACTGTGCCAGTCAACATGGACCATAAGTTACTGAGCATCCTGATTTGTTAAAGCTTTAATTTCTAGCCATCTTTGTCTCCTCGTCCTCGTCCTCATCCTCGTCCTCCTCCTCCTCCTCCTCCTCCTCCTCCTCTTCCTCCTTCTCTTCCATCTAGATAATCCTATAACTAGAATTCCTTTGGAAGAAAGAACCATAACTACTCAGTGTGTCCATGTGGATGTCACCTACCAAAGAGAATCATGTTTTCTTTTCCCATCTGCAGAACTGTTGGGAATCAAGGCACTTTCCAAACCTGACTATGGGGACTATTTGGAGTGTCAGCCAGAGGACATCCCAGTGTTCTGGCCTTCTCCACTGACCAGTCTTGAAGCTGTCATCAGCTACAGTGAGTTGTGGCTTGAGGGAACAACTACTTTGACCTAGGATATAACTCATGGGTTCTTGAAAGCACAGGCCTGCAAAATTACAGCTTAAAAATAAAGCAAAAGGCATAGACCTAGAGCTGGGAATGTCACTTGGTGGTAGAGTGCTTTTTTGGCATGCCCAAGGCCCTGGGTTTAATTCCCCAGCACTGGAAAACGAACACACAAAAACATAAGCTGATTGGCCACAAGGAGTGTCTCTCCAGCTTCCTCTTTTTATCCCTGGGCTGAGGTCTCCCAGTAAAGCATCTGATCTTTTAGCCCAAGAACCTTTTGATTAAATACTTTTCCATCTGCTGAAGCTTCACCACCCATTTTAATGGAAAAGCCAGCCTTTAACTTGACTTTTTGATGCATTCTGGAAATTGGTAGGGCTTTGAAAGAAAAGAATGAAGCCAAGAAACAGAGCTGAACGAAACATTTCACACTGTAGTCGCCAATATTTGCTGAGGAGCAGTTCTAAGACTCCTCAGACATCAAAATCTAGCCTCTCGTAGGAAAGGGTAGTATTTGTGCATAACTTACATCCTCCTGTATCTTTAACTCATTTCAAGATTGCTTGTGATGTCAAATGCAATGTAAATGCTTTGTGAGTGGCTGTTATTTATATTACTGTATTTTTAAGGACTAATGACAAGGAAAAAGTCTGTTCATGTTCAGTACAAATGCAAATATTTTTCTTTCGAATAGTTTCAACAAATGGATGGATATGAGGGACTTATTGAAGCATTATCATCAGCCTTCCCCACACCTCAAAGGACTAGAGTAGTTTACAATGAAGAAACACAAGAGGGCGCCTCACTGGTTGCCAAGACCATGCGAATGTAATAGAAATATTAAGAATAATAACTATTGCAGTCCATTGACACAAATATTGGAAAATTCTAACCAACCAGGCACCCTTATGCTTTAAAGAATAGGGTCTAGTGCTGCTTTATTCTGACAGCACCCATGAGCTATCAGAATGTCTTGAATTCGAGAGAGAGAGAGAAAGATTATCAATATGTTAATGGGACATAGATGACAGATCCATGGGATTCTACTGTTGGTTAACATCCATGTACTGAATACTGTGTGCCAGGCATGAGCCCAGATCTTGGGAATGCAGTGATATGGGAGAATCAGGGAGCCTGTGGTCATTGTGGAATCAGGGCAGATAGATACACATCCATAGACATACAGGGCAGATAAATACACATCCATAGACATACAGTAAATATCAGCCATCTCACCAGGCCCGCTGCTTTCTAACCATCCACTGTGGGAGAGACCCTGAAAAACAGATCTCACTGATCTTTTAGCCCAAGAACCTTTTGATTAAACCTTTTCCATCCACTGAAGCTGTTAGGAACATCCCAGTATACTCCAGGCTTTTAATTCCAAAGCTGATGGCACATTGGATTGTAGATGAGAACAAATGACATCATCAGTCAGGGACAATCCTGAATCATTCTCATACCTCAACACGTAAGTTTTATTAGCAATAAATAAATTTATAGCTGATGGGAGCAGAGTCTTGTATCATGTTCTTAGCCAACTGCTCTATGTGTACTTGGCTTTCGAGAAACCACTTTTAGGTGATGTCTGACACACAGAAAAGGGATCATTGCATTCCTCAGAATCAGTCCTCTTTATTCATAGTATGTAAAAGCTATGTATCTACCAGTGTTGCCTGGCTCTGGCTTCCTATTAAATCTAAGAACTGTTACAATTTCTGTGCAATCCAAGATACTATCATTTACTCAACTCGCAATGACATTATTGAACACCTATTACGTGCAAGGCATTATGTAGGACTCTGAGATGAAGAAGTAATGATTCCTCATCCTGAGGAGCACATAGCCAAATGGAGGTAGCACACTCAAAGATAACAATGACACCAAAGAAAGCAGAGGAGAAATTCAATATAACAAGTAGTAAGCACCTAGAGATCAGGCACAAGGGCAAAAGAAACGTTACAGTGATGCAAACCATTAGCGAGGGCTTGCTCTGTACCAGGCACTTTGCTAAGTACTTGAACCTGCACTTTCCAGTTTAGTGCTGACAACAACCAGACAAGACATGGCCTTTATTTTACAACTGAGCAGATAGGCATAGAGAGGGCAAAGTCACACATGAAATTCAAGTGTATCTTCCATACTGAAGCCACTCTGAGGACGATGCTAGAGCACCTCATAGAGCTGTGACCTAGCAGGGAGGAGGTTTGTAAGTGCTGTGAGAAACTCCATTCACAGAGGGTACCCAGTCTAACACTAGAAGGTAAAATGAGGTGGATTCATGTACTGAAAAGCTCAGGTAATACTTTCTGACAAGTTTTTAAATGGAACTTGAGCTACCATAAGCCAGCTTATTCTGACCTGGTACCAGCACATGGTATAGGGAATGCTCTTAGCAGAATGGATGCCCAGGTGCCATTTTGCCTGTCCACTGTGGACAGGATGAGAATGGACTGGACTTGGTGAAGTGGTGGCTCAGCCCCTTCCTCTCTGTGTTGCAGAGGCTCCACTGGTTTTCACCAGCGCTCCAGGCTGTACAGTTATGATTGACCTGAAGGACACAATATCTCCATCCAGCTGTCTCACCTCTGAGATGGTTCCAGAGGTCCATGCCATTTCCAAAGACCCTTTGCATTACAGCATAGTGTCAGCCTCTGCTGTTCAGAAGATCAGAGAGCTAGAGTCGATGATTGCCATAGACCCAGGTAAGAAACAAAGCATTCCAGGCTGGGGAGATGGTTCAATGAATAAAGCACCTGCCACTCAAACATAAAGACCTGACTTCAGATTCCCAGCACCCATGTAAAAACCCAAGTATGGCAGTGCACATCAGTAACCCCGGGGTTGGGTGGGTGGTGATGTGAAGACAGATGGATCCCCTTATTAATCAATGAGCCTAGCCAAATCAATGAGCTTCAGGTTCAGTGAGACTCGGCTCAAAAACTAAGGTGGATGAGCGATCAAGGGACAAACCCAACATTGACCTCTGACCTCCACACACGTACATCACACACACACACACACACACACGAAACAAAGAAAGAGAAGGAAAGAAAGGAAGAAAGGGGGAGACAGAGAAAGAAGTAAAGCATTCACAGAAAATAACTGAAGACATCCATCATCAGTGTGATATCTGGCGAGAAAGGCAAGATGCAAACTATCCAAAACTATCCACAATATGGTTCTCTAAAATGCTTATACTGGAAGCTGGCAAGATGGGTCAGCAGGTTAAGGCACTTGCCACCAAAACTGGCTACCTGAGTTCGATCCCTGGGACCCACATGGTAAAAGAAGAAAACGTATCCCCTCAGGTTGTCTTCTAAACACCACGCATGCACATGCACATGTGCGTGCGCACACACACACTACTAAATAAATAAATGTAATAAGCATTTTAAAATGCTTCTACCATGTATGACTCCCAGAACAACGGAAACAATGTACTACAGCACTGACACTGATGACCTCTAGGTAAGGAGGGACAGTATGGGTGATTTTTATTTTCCTCATGTTTTCTAAATTCTAATACTAAGCATGTGAGAGAGCTGGAGGGGTGAGTGTATTAGCTGGGAGCATTGCCATCCAGAATCAAATGGATCAGGCAAGTAAGAAAAAAACAGAAGGGTGGTTCCTAAATAGGCGACTGCCACCATTTTTCAAAAGTTATTAATATAGCAAGGTGTGGTGCTCATGCCTGGAATGCCAACACTTGGGAGATGGGGCAGGGGGATCCGGAGTTCAAGGTCATCTTCAACTACATAGTATTTTCTTTTTTAAATACTGAGCATCAGGATGGGAAGGGACACGAGATTGCTTCTCCTTTGGGGATCCCAGTGGGCAGGACCAGGCAGCTACAGGCTCACAACATTGAACACCCTGTCTGTATACTATACATTACATCTCAGGGAAAAGATAGCCCTTCTGAAATTAGCAAGCCACCACCTTTCCAAGCTTGAGACAGGGTTGGTGGGACCTTCTAGGGAGCCTGCTGATTGTAGTTAGTAAGAGGTTTGAACAGACCTGGTTGCAAGTTTTTCTCTTCCTGATTGGTCTGCATTTGGGAAATAACGTTCTAATCCAGGCAGCCAGCAGAGGGTGCTGTGTCTCCCACTATTATGCATGATATGTGCAGCTTGTCAACCCACCCTCATAATCACAGGGTAGATGCTGCCTCAGTTTCCTCATCAGTGTAACAAGACTACTGTCAATTATACCTCCCTGCTAGGATTGTGATTGTAGTAAGAATAATAGCTATGACTTATGGAGTTTCTTATTTCATCTTATTAAATTCCCCTAATATCTATCTCTATGAGACAACGCTTATGAATTGCATTTAACAAAGGAAACTGAAGCCTTTAAGGTTAAGAAACACCGAATCCACACACCCAGTAGGTGGTCAGGGTAGATCTTGAACCTGCATCTGCTGATTCCATTAACCATGGTTTATGCATACTGTATAACTTAGAATCTACATGTAGATTGTCATATTGTTGCCTGGGCAGTTACACAGTTCTCTGGTTAGTTCATACCTGATTCCTTCTGCACCTTCCTGGGGATTGTGATCCTAAAACTGGAAGCTAGCCACACTTTGAATATTTAGGACTACTAGGACTTACATACTCCCCCACTCCTTGCCCACCCCCTTCCAGCAATGCCCCAAAGACTTGCTGACTCCTATTTCACACCAGTGCCAGGATCAGTAAGGATGGACCCAGGGGAGCACAGAGGGGTGCGCCAGCCTGAGAAGGTGACTCTCTGGGCCAGACTCCCAGGAACCAAACATAGTAGATTCTGAGGAGTTTCTAAAGAGAACAGTGCCTGGCAGGGCTGTGGAGCAGACCTCCTAGGATCTAGCCAGCTCTGTGACAGAGACTCCTAAGAAGCAGATCAGACTGCTGCTTTTGTCCCCTAGGGCTGAGAGCAAAGACAAGCTTCTGCAGTTAACTAAACTTCCTGATAAACCACCCAGCAGAGCTTTTTGTTTGGTTGTTCATTCATTCATTCAGTCAGCCATTCATTCCTTTTGTGAAGATGATGGCTTAATTTACATATAAACACATGGTAAATTGGTGATATATGCCTATCACAGATGTACCTTTGAGGACTTACTCATGGCAGATAGATACAGAGTCTCTTACATGGTATGTCACATTCTTGCCTGGGCAGTTAAAAAGAGTACTCTATAGCCAAAGAGATAGCTCAGTGAGTAAAAGCACTCATCACCAAGCCTAACAACCTGAGTTCAATCCCCCAGAAAAGAATGCTCCAGCACTCTCTAGGGTAGATACTTTAACATTTTTCTACAATAATTTCTCCCTCACAAACATTCTTACCCAAGCTGATGGCTCCCCTATTTAAGACAGCATCTTGAGGAGAGATGAATTATTAGCGCTGCAATTAGCTTTGAGTTTAAAAGGAGCTGAGAGTAGATTTACTGTTACCCCAGTTCCCCCATTGTTTAATACAGATGAGCAGCGAAGTAAAGTGCAGCACCAGCCATCAGCGCTCCTGCAGACTAAGTTGAGACTTGAAGCCTGAGCTCCAGAGGAGGCAGATTTATGACTGCCTGGGTGTGTCGATTTCATCCACTAAAGACCATCTTTAATCTGCAAGAACAATAGGCAATTTCAATTTCCACTCAAATAAGCAGCTGTAAGATTAACGACAGTGTACAATGTGCTGGGCATTACTCACTGAGCTTATTAATAGATGTACTCAGTCATTTTTAAGAGGACATTGACTTGCATTTGATGTATCTGAAGAATATGGGGGATAGAAGATTTATAATAATGGGTTTTGTGCTGGTAATAAAGTCATCATAAATATACACCCAGCTTTCCGTTGACCACTCTCCCCCCTCATTCTCTCTTTAGTGCTCACTGCACTCTGTGAACCAGATCACGTCCAATTTTGTTCTGTAAAATGTTATTCTCCTAGCTTATCATCAGTGCTTCATGTTCATTGCAAAGACATCATAAAATACATGAATGTAGCCATGCATGGGACACACACATTGGGGAGGCTGAGGCAGGAGAATCATTCATTCAAGGCCTGAGTTTGACTCTGCCTCCAAGGTAAATTAAGTAAATTAATTAATATAGTTAAATTTTAGAAAGAAAATGTATGAAAGTAAAGAGGCAATAAAAGTTTGCAGCATCCAGGGGACAAGGGAGATGGCTCAGTGAGTTAAGTGCTTGCTATGCCAGCATGAAAACCTGAGTCAGATCTCCAGCATTCACATAAAAACCTAGGCACAGCAGTATATTCCTATAATCCCAGCACTGGGGAGGCAGAGACAGGTGGCTCCTTGAGGCTTGCTGGCCAGCTAGCCTAGCCAAATGTGTGAGCTCCAAGTTCATGAGACCCTCAAAAAAATAAGGTGGACAACCAGAGAGATGGCTGAGCAGTTAAGAACATGGGCTGCTTTTGCAGAGGACCTGGTTTTGGTTCCCAGCACCCACATGGCAACTCACAACTGTCTGTAAGTCCAATTCTAGGGGATTCAAAGCCTTCTGATCTCTGCAGACATTGTATATGATAGGTAGAGATCTGGCAGGAGCGAGCGGGCGCAGATGGAGAGCACGAGCGGATGGATGAGGCACCGAGGCACAGATGGAATTCTCAGCGGGATACAGATTTATTTCGCACGGGGCACCTTTCCCTTGGGGAAGGGAAAGATGTCGGCGGAGGGAAAGATGTCAGGGAAGGGAAGGGGAAGGGAAGGGAAGGGAAGGGAAGGGAAGGATGGGAAGGGAAGGGAAGGGAAGGATGGCAGGGAAGGGAAAGATGTATGTCTAGGAAAGATGTCAGCTCACAG